AGCGCTACCACCAAGCTACGTATTGTGTTCGACGCGTCAAGCCACATGAAAGGTGTACCCAGCCTCAACGACTGCGTTCACCAAGGCCCAACACTTCTGCCAGATTTATGTGGCACATTACTACGAGCACGCCTAACACCAATACTCATCATAGCGGACGTGGAGAAAGCATTCCACCAGATTCGACTACAGGAGGATCAGAGGGACGCCACACGTTTCCTCTGGTTGAAGGATACTTCAACATACCCAACGAAGGACAACATACGCATACTACGTTTTACACGTATTCCATTCGGCGTAAATGCTTCGCCATTCTTGCTTAGCATGTCCATAAAGTATGCACTGGAAAAGGAGGGAAGCAATCAGCTACAGGAGGAAATTCTTGCGAACACCTATGTCGACAACGTTTTAATTGGCGCCAAAACAGTCGACGAAGGCTTACGGAAAAGAACACGATGCAAGAACATCTTCTCCAAGATGAACTCCATGAACCTTCGCGAATTCATGTCCAACGACATCAACGTGCTGAACGCTACTCCAACGGAAGACAGGATGAAACAAACGAGTAGTACAGTGAAACTTTTGGGACTCCGATGGAATACCCATAAAGATTCTCTTTCAATACCAATCAAGACAACTAAGAAAGAAGTCAACACGAAACGTAGTGCACTAAAAGCATTCGCATCTACGTTTGACCCATTGGGTCTCCTAACCCCATTGTTCATCAAGGCAAAGATGTTCATCCAAGACCTTTGGCTGAACAATTACAAGTGGGATGACCCCTTCGACGAAAATATGTCAGAAAAGTGGAAATGTATCACAGAAGACATTAAAGGTTTCACGGGAAAACTTTCTCTATACCCTTACGGGGTCACGATATTTCTTATACTTCTCCAGATTCATCGCAGAGGGTCTATGCAGCAGTCGCATACTTAGTATGTCGACCACTGAAAAAGCAACCCTTCAGTAACTTAATATTCGCGAAAGCAAAGTTGGCAGTTATGAAGAAAACATCCATTCCAAGATTGGAACTCCTGGGATCCGTCTTGGCGGCAAAATTAGTCCGTTTCCTTCGAAAACAGCTCAAAATTACCCTTAGTTCAGTCCAAATTCTATCGGACTCACAAATAGCTCTTTACTGGATACATTCCAATAAACAGCTCAAAACGTTTGTCAACAATAGGGTCAAATACATAAAAGAAGTAACGCAGGAATTGTCGGATGCAAACATACCGTACAAGTTCCACTACGTCAACACAGACAGTAACCCAGCAGACTGTGCGACCAGAGGCTTGTCAGCTTCTGAGCTATCAAGCCATATGTGGTGGCACGGCCCTAGCTTTATACTCAACCAGCCTACAAAATGGCCTAACACAGATATGGACTTCAGCGCTAAAACCATTCCACCTAAGGAAGCGCAAGAAGAATTCAAGTCCGTAATAAACACATCCATTGACACTTATAAATCGTTTATCCCATTCATTAAGACTAGTTCATACGAAAAACTAGTTAGAATAACTTCTTACGTTCTAAAATACATATCCATCCTCTGGCGGAAAGGCAGAAAAGGCGAGTCAACCGAGGAGAACAGCCATAGGATCATCATCTTGATGTCGGAAACGCAAACGATCACTTAAAAGCGAGCGAATACAGCAGAAATTCTAACTTTCGCGAAACATCTAAATACCGCGAAGAAGTGCTTCAACTGCAAGGTCGCATAGTCCAGCGTCTCCAGGTGTCGATGTGCGACGATGGAATTTACCGTGGAGATCTTCGAATGGCAAATGCAGAGATCTTGGATACAGCCAAGAACCCAATTCTACTTTTGCCGAACCATCAGCTTACCAGACTGATCGTCACGGACTTCCATCAGAAGCTATTCCACGCCGGAGTTTCACACCTCATATCCGAACTCAGAAATCATTACCTCATTCCGAGGGTTCGGAGAGTGGTCAACGCTGTCGTCAGAAGATGTGTAGTTTGCAGGAGACACCAAGGAAGATCCTTCTCGTATCCTCGCATTCCTGACTTACCAAGCCAGAGAGTAGTCCGGAGCAGACCACCATTCCAAAACACAGGTCTAGACTACTTCGGACCCCTCACAGTTCGCCAAGAATTCGGACAGGACAAAAAAAAGTGGGTATGTCTCTTCACATGCATGGCAACCCGTGCCCCGCATCTCGAGGTTGTAGCCGATAACTCAGCACCACAATTCATCCTAGCCTTTCGAAGGTTCATAGCACGTCGAGGAAGCCCAACCCTTGGTCTTAAGCGACAACGCGCCTACCTTCAAATAGGAAAGGAAATTCTGGTGAACGAGCTACAAGCTGTGAGAGAATACCCAGCAGTCCAGCAGTTCACCAGTTCACAGAACCTCGAATGGAAGTTTATAACACCCCTTTCACCTTGGAAAGGAGGCTTCTACGAGAGGCTAGTGGGATCAGTGAAAGCAGCTTTAAAGAAAGCCATTCACAGGCGAACTCTAGATCTATGGAGTCTTCAAACAGTCATGTCAGAGATAGAGGCCACACTTAACACAAGGCCAATTACTCCGGTTACCACGGACTCAACGGAAGATTCGTTTGTACTACGGCCAATCGACCTCATTGACCCCTATTTCACACCTCCCAACTCAGGAGCATTCAAATTCAAGTGACCGATCAATAATCTCGAACTCACATGAAGAAATCATCAATTCGTATGTATTACTACAGGACACCCTAGATACATTCTGGAACCATTGGCAGAAGGAATACCTTCAGAACCTTGCGGAAAGAAATCAAAAAAGATCAACTCTCAGACAAGGTGCCAAATACATGCCAAAAGTCGGTGATGTAGTACTCATCAAAACGGAGAATACACAAAGGTCGCAATGGCCACTAGGTCTCATAATACAAATCAATGAATCAGTCGATGGATCAGTTCGATCAGTAAGGATAAAAACAGGAAATAACAAAGTTCTCGATCGATCAGTCAATCAGCTGATCCCTCTGGAAGTACGCGCAGCGGACACGAAAGATCTACTCACCTGTATCACCTGTCGTCCCGTTGATCATCGAATTGCTCGAGCGGGCGCCAGCAACGTCTCCATTCGTCCCTGTCGCGTGCAAGAGTGTCCAGTGGACCCTCCTCGCTCGAGGGACACGGTGTCCTTCATTCCTTTCGTTCAGAGCTTTCGTGAAGAAGTCTGACCATCGGGCCGGCGGTCGTCCAGGTGTTCGTTTGACGTCCCGAGGGATCCAGTCGGTAACCGCTCTGGTCCAACGGTCATCGCAAAATCGCATGACGTGTCCGGCCCACCTTATCTTCGATTCCTTGGCGAAAACGGCAGCGTCCCTGATCTTCGATCGTTGGCGTAGTTCGGCACTCCGGATTCCCCTCTGCACTTGCGTGTATAGGGTTACTCCTAGCATCGTCCTCTCGACAGCGCGTTGGATAACGCTGACCGCATGCTCGTCCTGCCTGCGCAGAGTCCAAGTCTCTGAGGCGTAGGTTAGGGCAGGAAGGACAGCGGAATCGAAGAGGTGGGCACGGAGCCGGATGTTCTTCGTCTTCTTCACTACTCCCTCGATGTTCTTGTACGCTCCCCAAGCCGCTCGTTTCCTCCTGCTCAGCTCTGGAGCTAGATCGTTCATCATATTGATTTCCCGACCTAGGTACACGTAGCTGGAGCATTCGGTGATGTTCGTTCCGTTGAGCGTGAATGGGGCATCAGGAACCAATCCGTTTCTCATAAACATCGTCTTCGTTAGGTTCAGCTGTAGACCAACCTTACCACAGGCGCAGTCGAAATCAGCCAGCATTCGCTCCGCTTGCTCGATGTTCGGCGTTATAAGAACGATGTCGTCAGCAAAACGAAGGTGGTGTAGTTGCCGGCCGTCGACCTTCACTCCCATGTCTTCCCATTCCAGTTGACGCATGACGTTCTCGAGAGCGGCGCTGAAGAGTTTGGGCGAGATGGTGTCGCCCTGTCGAACCCCTCTCTTGACGTCGATGATGACCTCCTTGTAGAATGGTGAGATTCTGGTCGTAAAGTTGCTGTAGAGCTCACGAAGAATCTTGATGTACTGAGTAGGGACGCCCTGGTTGCCCAAGGCTTCGATGACCGCTTCTGTCTCCACAGAGTCGAAGGCCTTCTTCAAGTCGATGAACGTGAGACAAAGCGGCATCTTGTACTCTCGTGAAACTTCAATGAGTCTTGTAACCGTGTGGATATGGTCGATCGTGCTGAACCCTCTTCGAAACCCTGCTTGCTCGCATGGCTGTCCTTCATCTAGTATTCTGCCGATCCTGTTAAGGATGACTCGAGTGAATAGCTTGTAGATTACAGACAGCAGGCAGATTGGGCGATAGTTGCCAATGTCGTCCAAGTCTCCCTTCTTGTACAGCAACACGGTCCTGCTGGTTTTCCACGGAGTGGGTACCTTGCATTCCGACAGGTAGCGCGTGAAGAGTCGAGCCAGAGTTTTGATGATAACTGGCGGCGCATTCTTCAGATGTTCCGGTTTGACCCTGTCGAGACCGGGTGCTGTACGATTCTTCACCGACTTGATGGCGTGTCGGACTTCGGAAGAGAGAACTGAGGGGACGACGTATCCATCCTGTTGCAGTTGATAAGTGGGCAGATGGACATGGCTATCGAAGAGATCCGAGTAGAAGTCGTGGATGACTTTCTCCATTGCCCTTCGGGATGCAGTAACTGTTCCATCCGGACGTCGGAGGCAGGTCATCTTGGTCTTGTAGCTGGCAAAGCTTCGGCGGGCATTGCGGATGCTCCTCCCAGCCTCTGCTGCTTCAGCTAATACTGCTGCTCTTCGCTCCTTGAGATCTTCCTTTATCGCCTCTCTGCATAGCTTCGCAAGCTCGGACGTGAGTCGGTGATTGCCTGCAGCTCGTGCGGCTCCACGCTGGCGTATCAGTTCGAGAGTTTCCGGAGACAGACGTCCCTTGGTGACTTTCAAACTCTCTGCCTTCTTGCCACAATCGTGAAGATGTTCAACGAGCCGATAGTACTCCTCGTCGATGTTTTCGATGACGGAATCCTCCCATAAGCTGACGAGGGAAGCGAAGTGGATCCCAGTTGATGACTGTCCTGGGGCTTCGCTTCCTGAACTTCGAGGCTCTCTCAACACGCATCGAAAAGTGGAACTTTGCGCGGAGGAGACGATGGTCCGATCCCGTGTAGAACTTCGGAACAACAGCGACGTCGGTCAGGCAAAACCTTCGATTGAAGATGATGTGGTCTATCTCGTTATGGAACTGTCCATCAGGTGACTCCCAAGTCCAACGAAGGTGAGGGGGCTTTTGGAACTGTGAGTTACCATGGATGGTGTTGGTCGACATGATAAACTCCGACAGTCTCTCACCCTGCTCATTCCATTCCATTCCGTGAGTACCGATGTGAAGTTCTTCAGCCGTTCTTTTGGGCCAATCTTAGCGTTGAAGTCGCCGACGATGACCTTGAAGAAGGTATGATCTTCCTTGTAGAACTTCTCCAATTCCATATAAATGCTTCGTGTTCTTCCTCGTCGTAGCTGGATGTTGGTGCGTAGGCGACGAAGATTGTCAAAGCAGGAGTTGAACCACATCTTCTCAATCTCAAACGTCCGATTCGGGTCGTAAGGCTTTCGTACGAATCGATGTTTATGGCCAAGTGCGTGTTGACGAGGACACCCACACCGCCAACGCCTCTGCTGTCGCATGTTCCAAGGAACAGTTCTTCTCCAGTATCGAAAACGGCGTGTAGCGGGCGGTGCCTTCTCGTCTCGGTCAGTCCGATGACGTCGTACTTGATCTTCCTGGCCTGCATCATCAGATCTTCGATGTGAGCTTCGGATGCAAGCGTTCGTGCGTTGAAAGTACAGATCGCCATCTTAGTCCTTCTTCGTTTAGGCAGCCTATCCGGGCCCTGAGATTCTAGCAGCCTCTCCCGAGCGGTCCTACCCAACGCTGCCGTATTGGGGGCTCCCTCAGGTTCAGGGGAATGAGGCCCATCCATATTGCTGTTTCGGCATATTGAAGGCACACGAGTAGCTTGCCAGGCTCTGTCGTGCGGGCTAGGATAGACCTCCAGGTAGTTAGCCACGCTATCCTGGAGCGGAACAAGGGGCTTATTTCTTGGAGGCGGCCCCGAATCGCCTCCCATGTACTTCCCAGTCACTTGAATGCAAGCTTTTGGCTGTGCCGACATGCAGGATACCAACCGCACACACACAGAGCGCACCACACACGCAAGCATGCATGGATGCGCCTGAGTGGAGACAGCTGGTATGAATCAACACAGCACTACAGAAACAGGGAGTCCATCCCCTGAATCCACCTGCGTCTCAGGGCAAGTACATGGTGGCTTTTGGTCCGCGATTTACCCCCTATCCGCCACCTGGGGTCGCGCCACGTAGCCTCGCCACCAACCGGCTCGAGATCTTTCAGTGAGAGAGGACCCTCAGTGAAAGAGATCCGTGGAAAAGATCTACTACAGACAAAAAAGCAACATGTTCCGACACGCATCCAACCAGACAAAGCAGCGAAAAGACGAGGTAACTGAGTAAGCAGACATTCGTAACTCACACCATTACAGTTCAAAACTTAACTCACACTTCTAACTCATTTCACACTCACTCATCATCTAGTCAGACTCACACTACTCTAATTCACCCTTGCTACTAACTCACTCGAACTAAAACTTCCATCTCAACACCTTAAGATATGTCGTATTTCACACTATCTCAAGAATCACAGCATTCACAACTCTCGATTTCATCATTCGAATGCTTCACATCAGCTACTTCGTTACTTCACAAACTCACTAGAATAAGGTAGAAGTTAGAAAAGAAATAAGCATAAGAAACTCAATGAACTAACACGCCATAAGCATAAAGTAATTCATAGGGCGCAGTAGATCAACCAACGGAGAGTCCCGACGCGAATTACAGTAAGGCACGCGCCAACGTAGGCATGACGAAATCCGAAAATCTCATTTAGCCCGGTGTCGGCGGCGTCTTCGTTACTGTTTTTCGTTTCGCGTTTCTTTCGTTCAGTTGATTGCTGTTCTCTTCATAATTCATATGTTTTCATCATTTACTTCATTGAAGAAGATTTTAGTCACATCGTTTCCAAGAAATAGGCTTTCTAATGTCGCCACTCATTTCATCTCCTCGTGTAGTCAAAAAGGCGACGCTTTTCGAAAATCAGATTTTCTCATTTTCAATTCATTATTTCACTTTCTTGGAGTCATTTCATTCATTAGTAGTTCATTGAGGTCTCGTTTTCCTTTTCTCACATATCTCAAGGAAGTTTTAGTCAAAATCATAAATTACGATTTTGCACCTAAGTACTAATTCACACTAACACTTCTCACTTTAACTCAAACATTCTATTCACTTACACCTCATGCACTCACATTCATTTCTACACTTCAATTCATTAATTCATGTTCGATTTAATTCTTTTCTTCACAAAGTCATCTACATTAACTCTTTCTTGTACTACTTCATAGTTCATCCTTCTCACACTCACTTCTTTCTTCATCCACTCATGAACTGCACTACTAAGATGCTCTATTTTACTCATTCATTCCATTTAATAGTAGTTCATGATTTCCATTTTGAAGTAGTTATCATTCATGACATATTTCTTGTCACATTCAAAATCATCATCGTCATTTCATCATAGTTATAATTCAGTGAAATTTAAAGTTCGGTTACATCTTGAATTACTAACATTTTTAGTATCTCACTAATACTAACATTTCCTTTTTATCTCACCATTTTAATTACGGCTTCCCCAATACTAACCTCATTAACCTCTTAATTGAACTAACAATCGCGTAAACCTTGTAATTATTTCCGCGGACCCTACTAATGACTGCTCCCTTTTAGAACTTGGTCTGTTTTCGTGCGATCTGAAGTTTTCGTTGCTATTATGAGTTCGCCTGGTGGTAGTCCGAAGAAGGATGCACCGAGCGCACCTCGCGGATGGAGTCGTAGGAGAGGAGCTAGAGGTAGGTTTACCTTTAGCACTCTAAACTCCAGACAGTCCACTCCGCAGTCGACTCGTGTCTCTCCGGTTCAACCCCGTGGTACAGCTAGTTCACGTCCCCAATCCTCACGCCCGCAGGGCCAAAGAGGAGCTAGAGGTTCTTCACCGTTCGAGGATCCCCTACTCAACATGTCGTGGGCACAGCAAGTGCAAGCTGAAGCGGCAAGACTTACTGCAGAAGCTTCCAAGAAAGAGAAGAAGGAACAGAAGAAGCAAGAGTCGGAAAGTTCATCGGGAGTAGAGAAGCAAAGTGTCGAAAAGGAAAAGAAGAAGCCACAAGAGGAAGAGATGGACACATCCGAGGTAGTTCAGGAAGGAAGCGCTCTACAGCACGACGTCAACCCAAGCGATTGGGAGCCCAACACAGCTAATACAGGTGAAAGTAATAAGCCCACCACTCAGCTTGAGATCACTTACGATGAGATGGCCACCGCGGGAGCTAGTATGATGAAGAAAAAGGAAGGAGAAGGAGAAGGCTCTTCAGAGGAAGAAGGAGAGGATGGAAGCCGTAGTCCACTTTTTAGAAGAGTACTCTAGGAGGAGGCCATTCTACACCGAACCCGGCGGACCCCTTAGAGTCAATCCAGCACCCACGTCACTCATGAAGAAACCGAACGTGACGCCTCATAGTACAATCAACGTAGAACCGTACACCGTTGAGGAATTGACGGCCCATCAGTTTCGCACAGTGTTCGACTACATCACGACGAACAACATTCTGAGGGATCGAATCCGCGGCATCAGAATACCGGACAGGGAGACAACACCAGCCCGTCCCTCAGACTACGAAGGCAGTTGCGAGGATAGTTCATGTACTTCAAACTCTACTGGAGATCGTGCAGCACACCACCCAGTCGTTCCATAACCTCGCGGTCATCTTGGTGAGACATCAACCACTCGAGATTCGCTACACTCACCTCATGGGATGGATTCACGAGTTGACCCACAGCATCACGTCTATCACCGTCAATCGAGATCAGCTCCAGGAGATCATGTTGCCGAGGCTCTTTCAGTGGTCCCAAGATCTAGACTACTTTAGAGCCACACTCCAGCTTTTCGGCATAACGGAGGAGACGTTCACCGAGGTACTCCAACATAGTTCCGAGGATCCAGTCGGTAACCGCTCTGGTCCAACGGTCATCGCAAAATCGCATGACGTGTCCGGCCCACCTTATCTTCGATTCCTTGGCGAAAACGGCAGCGTCCCTGATCTTCGATCGTTGGCGTAGTTCGGCACTCCGGATTCCCCTCTGCACTTGCGTGTATAGGGTTACTCCTAGCATCGTCCTCTCGACAGCGCGTTGGATAACGCTGACCGCATGCTCGTCCTGCCTGCGCAGAGTCCAAGTCTCTGAGGCGTAGGTTAGGGCAGGAAGGACAGCGGAATCGAAGAGGTGGGCACGGAGCCGGATGTTCTTCGTCTTCTTCACTACTCCCTCGATGTTCTTGTACGCTCCCCAAGCCGCTCGTTTCCTCCTGCTCAGCTCTGGAGCTAGATCGTTCATCATATTGATTTCCCGACCTAGGTACACGTAGCTGGAGCATTCGGTGATGTTCGTTCCGTTGAGCGTGAATGGGGCATCAGGAACCAATCCGTTTCTCATAAACATCGTCTTCGTTAGGTTCAGCTGTAGACCAACCTTACCACAGGCGCAGTCGAAATCAGCCAGCATTCGCTCCGCTTGCTCGATGTTCGGCGTTATAAGAACGATGTCGTCAGCAAAACGAAGGTGGTGTAGTTGCCGGCCGTCGACCTTCACTCCCATGTCTTCCCATTCCAGTTGACGCATGACGTTCTCGAGAGCGGCGCTGAAGAGTTTGGGCGAGATGGTGTCGCCCTGTCGAACCCCTCTCTTGACGTCGATGATGACCTCCTTGTAGAATGGTGAGATTCTGGTCGTAAAGTTGCTGTAGAGCTCACGAAGAATCTTGATGTACTGAGTAGGGACGCCCTGGTTGCCCAAGGCTTCGATGACCGCTTCTGTCTCCACAGAGTCGAAGGCCTTCTTCAAGTCGATGAACGTGAGACAAAGCGGCATCTTGTACTCTCGTGAAACTTCAATGAGTCTTGTAACCGTGTGGATATGGTCGATCGTGCTGAACCCTCTTCGAAACCCTGCTTGCTCGCATGGCTGTCCTTCATCTAGTATTCTGCCGATCCTGTTAAGGATGACTCGAGTGAATAGCTTGTAGATTACAGACAGCAGGCAGATTGGGCGATAGTTGCCAATGTCGTCCAGGTCTCCCTTCTTGTACAGCAACACGGTCCTGCTGGTTTTCCACGGAGTGGGTACCTTGCATTCCGACAGGTAGCGCGTGAAGAGTCGAGCCAGAGTTTTGATGATGACTGGCGGCGCATTCTTCAGATGTTCCGGTTTGACCCTGTCGAGACCGGGTGCTGTACGATTCTTCACCGACTTGATGGCGTGTCGGACTTCGGAAGAGAGTACTGAGGGGACGACGTATCCATCCTGTTGCAGTTGATAAGTGGGCAGATGGACATGGCTATCGAAGAGATCCGAGTAGAAGTCGTGGATGACTTTCTCCATTGCCCTTCGGGATGCAGTAACTGTTCCATCCGGACGTCGGAGGCAGGTCATCTTGGTCTTGTAGCTGGCAAAGCTTCGGCGGGCATTGCGGATGCTCCTCCCAGCCTCTGCTGCTTCAGCTAATACTGCTGCTCTTCGCTCCTTGAGATCTTCCTTTATCGCCTCTCTGCATAGCTTCGCAAGCTCGGACGTGAGTCGGTGATTGCCTGCAGCTCGTGCGGCTCCACGCTGGCGTATCAGTTCGAGAGTTCCGGAGACAGACGTCCCTTGGTGACTTTCAAACTCTCTGCCTTCTTGCCACAATCGTGAAGATGTTCAACGAGCCGATAGTACTCCTCGTCGATGTTTTCGATGACGGAATCCTCCCATAAGCTGACGAGGGAAGCGAAGTGATCCCAGTTGATGACTGTCCTGGGGCTTCGCTTCCTGAACTTCGAGGCTCTCTCAACACGCATCGAAAAGTGGAACTTTGCGCGGAGGAGACGATGGTCCGATCCCGTGTAGAACTTCGGAACAACAGCGACGTCGGTCAGGCAAAACCTTCGATTGAAGATGATGTGGTCTATCTCGTTATGGAACTGTCCATCAGGTGACTCCCAAGTCCAACGAAGGTGAGGGGGCTTTTGGAACTGTGAGTTACCATGGATGGTGTTGGTCGACATGATAAACTCGACAGTCTCTCACCCTGCTCATTCCATTCCATTCCGTGAGTACCGATGTGAAGTTCTTCAGCCGTTCTTCTGGGCCAATCTTGGCGTTGAAGTCGCCGACGATGACCTTGAAGAAGGTATGATCTTCCTTGTAGAACTTCTCCAATTCCATATAAAATGCTTCGTGTTCCTCCTCGTCGTAGCTGGATGTTGGTGCGTAGGCGACGAAGATTGTCAAAGCAGGAGTTGAACCACATCTTCTCAATCTCAAACGTCCGATTCGGGTCGTAAGGCTTTCGTACGAATCGATGTTTATGGCCAAGTGCGTGTTGACGAGGACACCCACACCGCCAACGCCTCTGCTGTCGCATGTTCCAAGGAACAGTTCTTCTCCAGTATCGAAAACGGCGTGTAGCGGGCGGTGCCTTCTCGTCTCGGTCAGTCCGATGACGTCGTACTTGATCTTCCTGGCCTGCATCATCAGATCTTCGATGTGAGCTTCGGATGCAAGCGTCCGTGCGTTGAAAGTACAGATCGCCATCTTAGTCCTTCTTCGTTTAGGCAGCCTATCCGGGCCCTGAGATTCTAGCAGCCTCTCCCGAGCGGTCCTACCCAACGCTGCCGTATTGGGGGCTCCCTCAGGTTCAGGGGAATGAGGCCCATCCATATTGCTGTTTTCGGCATATTGAAGGCACACGAGTAGCTTGCCAGGCTCTGTCGTGCGGGCTAGGATAGACCTCCAGGTAGTTAGCCACGCTATCCTGGAGCGGAACAAGGGACTTATTTCTTGGAGGCGGGCCCCGAATCGCCTCCCATGTACTTCCCAGTCACTTGAATGCAAGCTTTTGGCTGTGCCGACATGCAGGATACCAACCGCACACACACAGAGCGCACCACACACGCAAGCATGCATGGATGCGCCTGAGTGGAGACAGCTGGTATGAATCAACACAGCACTACAGAAACAGGGAGTCCATCCCCTGAATCCACCTGCGTCTCAGGGCAAGTACATGGTGGCTTTTGGTCCGCGATTTACCCCCTATCCGCCACCTGGGGTCGCGCCACGTAGCCTCGCCACCAACCGGCTCGAGATCTTTCAGTGAGAGAGGACCCTCAGTGAAAGAGATCCGTGGAAAGATCTATACAAACAATAAAAGCAACACATGTCCGACACGCATCCAACCAGACAAAGCAGCGGAAAAGACGAGGTAACTGAGTAAGCAGACATTCGTAACTCACACCATTACAGTTCAAAACTTAACTCACACTTCTAACTCATTTCACACTCACTCATCATCTAGTCAGACTCACACTACTCTAATTCACCCTTGCTACTAACTCACTCGAATTAAAACTTCCATCTCAACACCTTAAGATATGTCGTATTTCACACTATCTCAAGAATTCACAGCATCCACAACTCTCGATTTCATCATTCGAATGCTTCACATCAGCTACTTCGTTACTTCACGAACTCACTAGCATAAAGTAGAAGTTAGAAAAGAAATAAGCATAAGAAACTCAATGAACTAACACCATTGAGATCAATCGAGGACGCCATTGAGATCAATCGAGGTCCCCAAATTGGCACCACCTACCTCATGGCCAACGGAAGATCCCATCGTCGTTGTGTGCCCCCCCCAGGCTGGACAACAGTCCAACTCTAGCTCGAGGCCCGGTTACGACCCCGCAGGAACGGGCACAAGGAAACGTGGTATGGGAAGGCGAGAGTCGTGAAGTCGAGCCTCCCACGTCAAGACCACGTCGTAGACCAGAGCGTCGATCTGTCAGTCGTAGTTCAACCCGTAGACCAGCGGAGCGTGCACCGACCCAACACCGCTCACGTTCCAGGTTCATGACGCGATCAGTGCCTTCCGAATCACACGGAAGAGTAGAACCTTGCGTCTTCTGTCTGAAGGAAGGACATTATAGTTCAGATTGCGACGCTTATCCTTACCTCAGCGACAGGGCTCATCTGGCTTCCCGGGATGGCATGTGTAGTAATTGCCTCAAGTCACACTATGGCATATGCATCCGCAAGGACCCCTGCAGCATATGCCACCAGGAGGGTCACCATAGGGCATTTTGCACCCAAAACCCTTTCGCTGTCTTCGACCTAGATCTGACTCCTGAGGCGTTCTATGACGACCTTCAGTTCAGACCTATCGTCCTCCCCCTCGTGGTGCGGTCCCACGTCGTCGGTATGAGCGTGCTTATCACGACAGGGATAGGGACGCTGATCCCGACCAACCGGGACCTTCCCATCGTCCACCACCGGAGCGCGAACGCTCTCCGGAGCCTTCTGCTTCGGGCCTGGGGCATCAAATGGGTTTTTCGCCAGCCAATAGCGATGAGTCCTGGTGAGGCAAAGATATGCTAGTTCAAATAGTTCAGTTCAACTTACAGTTATGTTTGCCTAATTCAATAGTCCAGCTGATTTATTACAACATTGATAGTTTAGTCGATAAGTTATGAAGATACTAGTTCATCCTTTTACTTAAGCTGTCATTAGTCCACTAGTTCATTGTTGGTTCATCTATGGTCGACGGAGTCAACGACGATGTCAAGGATGCCAATTAGTGATGTCATTGGGTAAGCGGTTTCGTTTAAGGTGATATTAAATTTGATTGTTTAGGAAGTTCGTATGGCTCATTAGTTGGCGATTCTCTCTGTCATGTCCTCTACGTCGATTCGTTATGGCGCTTAATTCACTTCAGGATATCATATTCCTGAGTTTATTTTCCTTTTCTATTTCATTTTTTGTGTTTGATTCCTTGATAATTCAGGTTCGAGTACGAGTCTCCACCGGGTATTGATGACGATGGTTTACGACGCTCAATTACGCCATCTCAGGACTTTAAATCCCTGAGTTTATTTTTCATTTTCGTTTTATTATTTTCTCTTACCTCGTTTACTTCAGGTTGTGCGTTCGTTTACATCGCTCAATTTTATCGGTGCTTTACGTCTGGTGCTTTACGCCTTAGTTCACAATAGTTCAACATCATTTGGTGATGTTATTGTTGTTACTAACACTTTATTATTGATGTTGTTTTTGTTGTTTTTGTGCACTAACCCATTTTAATTGAAGATGTTTTACTTAACTATAGTTCACTTAACTTTAAGAAGTATTGCCGACGGTTATTTAGTTACTAACATGTTAGGTTAGGCTGTTCGAGTTTCTCTCAGAGACCTTAGCCGTAAGACCACTTTCTTAAAATCAATATTCTTTTGGCATTCGGGTTTCTGCAGCTACCGAGCGCTACGTCTCCAGGCGGGGGCCTGAGACTGATGCCCACAAGGGGTTCTTTTGCGGCGGGAGTGTCGCGTAACACGAAGATCGCTCCAACAGAACCCTGGGCGCGCCGGTGCCTGCGAGTACTGCCGACATGACCCAGCCTGATCTCTCCGTGATCGTGCGGCAACGCACGGGCCGTTAGCAACGGCACCATCACGGCCTGGCCTGGTGTTCCCTTCGTCATCGGTTCTTCCCCGTCGTCGTATTCTTCGGCAGACTCGTAGGGCTCTAGCCCTTAGAACTACATTCGAGAATTCTATATTCCAATCTATCGTGGTCGAGCGGCGGGTCGATGGAAGCGACCCGACGTGAGTTAATTTTGTACTAACCTTTTATATTTCATTCATGATTTCGGTTGAGTAGTTCAGTAGAATGAATTTGAAGTTAAGACATAAAACTTACTAGTTCTGTGTGTTTGCGTCGTGTAGCAATATGGGTGTAAGCCCGACACATGTACTTGTTGGTAATTAAACGTAGTGTTGCTTAGGTTAATCGGTAGGACTCAAAGTAGGGATGGTAAGGTTTGTTGTTAGTCCACTTGCGCCCCAGTAGGTGTCTGCAGAGCCGGCTGGTAGGCTGTACGTGCTTTATCTCTTACTTGGTTCCTGGTTTTCCCCCCTTGGGCGCCCTAAGTCTCCTCCTGGACCCACCGATCCGCAACATATTCATGATTAGGACCGTCAGTAACCCTTACAAATAGACTTTGATTAAAAAACTGGTGAAAAAGGTGTGACACCACAGTGGGGCTGCTTGGTGTCACACCTCTTACACCAATTTTTAAGTCAAAGTCTTTTTGTAAGGGTTACTGACGGTCCTAATCATGAATATGGTACTAATTATTCATGCTAACTCCATTTTGCGCATGCAAAAATTTGTCACCACGAGGAATCGAACTAGGGACCCCTTTTCTGGTATTCAGAGGGCCGTTCAGGAAAAATGAACCATGGTTCTGTGGTTCCCGCATGTGCCCCTATATCATGCAAAAGACCGTTTTCAAAAAGCTTGGCACGCCCTGAAAGACCTTCCTGGTTAGCGAGAAAAACGGCTGAGAATGGATATGATGAAATGATCTTGATCTAACGATCATGCCACGACGCGGCTCTGTTTGAGTTCTGGCCTTCTTCTCTAATTCGGCTTATTTTGACTGAAGATGTAGTATTTCGTTACAAGAAAACTTCCAGAGTTTCTCTTTGGACTTTCTAGAACCGAATTGGACTCTGTCATTGCCCACTTAGATGTATGCTCCTCCTACCACGGGTAGAGTTTCCCATGTTTGCTTCGTACAGCACGGCTCATGAATTACGCATCCCAAGTTGGACCCGCCCTCCTCAGGTGATTTTTCAAGCAACAATTCCATGATTGTGGTGAGCGGGCATGCAGACAAACAAACTCTGGTTTATACACTGCGTCCCATAATTATAACTCCACCCAAGAATTTCCCAAAATCTCACAAATTTAGATGTTTTAGAAAAAGTCTCCAATGTGGCAGTGTGTCAAATACAAATACGAAATTCGCCTATAAACATCAACTTCCAACTTGAGATCCCAGGAATTTTTTCTAATAATTTTTGTTCAAAAGGCCACTTAGCCGACGTCCCAAAATTATAACTCCACCTCATGTTTTTCTATTATTTTTCACTTCCGTTTCGCCAAACTTTTTTATTGTGCTAACATCCTACTTCTCAAGGGGACAGTATGATAGAAAATGCTGTCTGACTTTTTAAAAGGTCAGGTCGTCGCAAAAACTACTAATTAGGCAATCGCACAAGATTTTGACCAAATTCACGAGGAGCTCGAGAATTTTTTCAGGGATTTTACATGATATGGAGTTGAGAAGAGCTCCAAAGGATCTCTCCTTGCTTTTCGGTAGAAACAAAGGCCGTGTCACAGAAGAAACATCCTTTTTTATGAAGCCGTGCTCTGCCATCAAATCTTCTTCGGAACTTAATGGCTCAACGGAACAATGTTTTTGCTTGCGAATAATCCCAAGTTGATTCTCGAGTGGAAAACGTGGAAGGCATCATCTGTGGTAAGAAACCATGGCGGAATTCTTGCTGAGTTTTCCGGAAAGGTGCATCCGAGCCGACTGTAGTAAGGTTCGCTCTTACTTGCGATTCATTACTGATTGTCTGTCTTTCTCTTCGGCATTTTCTTTCTCCTGGTAGTGCTTCGCGAAGAGAAAAGCTACTAAGGATGAGAAAAGCACGAAAAGAAAAACAAACAAATGCTAAAACATATCGAGCAAAAGCGAACCTTACTCCAGTCGGCTCCGTTGCATCTTTCTGTGAAAATGGGCTCAATTTTCGCCATGGTTTCTTGCCACAGATGATGCCTTCCACGTTTTCCACTCGAGAATCAACTTGGGATTATTCGCAAGCAAAAACATTGTTCCGTTGAGACATTAAGTTCCGAAGAAGATTTGATGGCAGAGCACGGCTTCATAAAAAAGGATGTTTCTTCTGTGACACGGCCTTTGTTTCTACCGAAAAGCAAGGGAGATCCTTTGGAGCTCTTCTCAACTCCATATCATGTAAAATCCCTGAAAAAATTCTCGAGCTCCTCGTGAATTTGGTCAAAATCTTGTGCGATTGCCTAATTAGTAGTTTTTGCGACGACCTGACCTTTTAAAAAGTCAGACAGCATTTTCTATCATACTGTCCCCTTGAGAAGTAGGATGTTAGCACAATAAAAAAGTTTGGCGAAACGGAAGTGAAAAATAATAGAAAAACATGAGGTGGAGTTATAATTTTGGGACGTCGGCCAAGTGGCCTTTTGAACAAAAATTATTAGAAAAAATTCCTGGGATCTCAAGTTGGAAGATGATGTTTATAGGCAATTTCGTATTTGTATTTGACACACTGCCACATTGGAGACTTTTTCTAAAACATCTAAATTTGTGAGATTTTGGGAAATTCTTGGGTGGAGTTATAATTATGGGACGCAGTGTATCTTCTTGTTCGAACATCATTCGATTTTGACCCTCAAATTCGGAAATGCTTTACCCTTCACACACTTGTTCAGGCTTTCGGCGACCACTTCGCATACGGTACGCAGGTGCTGATCATCACTTTTTCCCCAGGCTTTTGGCGATATTTTAAAAGAGTTTGTATTTGGATGCCTGAAAGCAGGCTTTTCTCTCCGAGATGACCTATGTGCAACGAATTATTCTCCACATAAAGGTATATAGAAGTGGGGAGGGGGCATTCGTTGTGTTAGTTGAAGCCCAGCGTTGCTTGGAGTATCATTCCCGGACG